AATGACAAGGTTAACATGTCCGAGAAATCCGGTTTATTACATGGTGCCACCACTTCAACCAGCATGCAAACAAATATCCTAATTAGAGACTGTCGGAGAGTTTTGAAGAGATGGTGTTTATATTGTGCTACAAAGATGGCAGTTAATTGATCGTTTTTCCTTCAAATTAGTCTGAATTGGTGTGCAGAGCATTTCATGAGCCACAATATGTATGTACGACTGCAACCATCTGGGAAAATGTAAATGTGACAGGGAAGCTATGCTCGGTAATAAAACAATAACTTTCTCTGTGGTCACATTAATGTTTTTGTCGTTGAAGAACTGGAAGAAGTCGTGATGTTCTGAGTATTGTGATTCTATGAATGGATTGTACTGTGGGGCTAACATTAATGGATCTATTTCTAATTGCTAAGCAGAAAACACTAGCTTCTGAACATCACACAAACCGAAGCCTGAAACCTGTTACTCTCCTGTGAGAACTTGTGTTCGGAAGGAGGGGTGGGGGTGAGGTAGCGGGTGAGGAGGACGATGGGGGAGGAGGTGGGAAATGGAGTGGGGGGTCCAGCAGGCCTGTTTCCAGATGAAAACCATCTGCGGAGGTTGACTTTACAAGCAGGCCATTCAAATTAACCATCTGAGAAAGAGCAAGGGAGGGAGGGAGGGAGGGAGGGCCAAAGACGTTGGGGGCTGGTAAAAGTCTGCCAAAGACTCGAGTGAAACTGTTCTATAACAAAGAGAAAAAACAAGCGATGAAGGAGCGGACAAGGAAAGAACAAGCGACATGACCCAAATTGAGTAAATCCATCCAAACATTAATTCAGTCCATGGCGTCCTACCTTTCGGAAAAGGTACCCTGTACTCCATCGCCATGCCCCCCTCAGAGAGGAGAGCCGCCTTCTCAAAGACCCTCCTCGGTTCATCTTTGAAGAGCTGCCTCACACTGCTTTCTGTCCAGCAGTGAAGTTTCCCCGTCAAACCTCTCCCTTTTCTCTGACAGCGGCAGAAGAAGAAAAAAATCCCCAAGGTCTCTATTTTGGGCAGTCTCCTGTAGAGTCCATCTGCATGCTCCACTCGGACCGGACTCCTCCACAGCTCCTTGTCTCTGGCTTGTGTCCGCTCTGCCTGTGTGTTGGTCACCCTCCCCCCTCCCACTCAGCCTCCCGTCGTGTTATCTCTCCCCCCTCATATTCAACTTTTCCCTCCCCTCCCTCTCCCTCTCATCTGTTTACAGATCTAAATTGCGACTGCAAACCCTTTCCGTCTCTATAGGCAAACATGTGGGTATGATGCATGTTTATACACACACAAACATCAGCTGACTGTAGATCTTCACCACTGTGTGTTTGTGTGTGTGTGTGTGTGTGTGTGTGTGTGTGTGTGTGTGTGTGTGTGTGTGTGTGTGTGTGTGTGTGTGTGCGTGCGTGCGTGCATGTGTGTGTCAAAAATGTCTTTGCACAGGTGATTTCACAAACTGCACTGAGCAATCTGAAACGTTCAATCAAAGTCAACGTTTCAGTTTTTCAGTGTGTGCACTTCGATGCTGTTTTTGAAGAACTAAGACCTTTTACCAAGATGGTACTGTGTCCTTACTTTTCAAGGTACAGTTTATAATGAAACCTTCTGATTGAATAATAAACTAGAACCAGCCCTCCGTCAAAGCCAAATCTCTTATCTCATAACCTTTACTTAAATACAAAATAATGTGTGTCCTATCGCCCGTGATTTGGGATCTGCTCCAAAAAATGAGTTTTTCCTTGTCAGATTCCACAGCCTTTCACCACATTCCATAAGAAAAAGTATTGTTCCGTTATCGCGCTGACAAACAAAATGCCCCAAAAACATAACCTCTCTGGCAGAAGTTGAAAATCGAATGATTTGAACCAACTGAGCAGAGAAGAAGAAGAAGAAGAACACAAGACTGACCAAGGGGGAAACTGATCATAAGACCAATCCTTTTCCTTTTTCATGCCCTGAGGATATATGTCCCTGACGTCACAGTGTAACCACACAGCAAATGCCCATGACTAGACAGCAGCAGCTGCACTGGCACACAGACTTGCACTCATGGAACACTTCAACACATGCATACTACTACACTGACGTGATCGCACACTATGCGTGCAACACAAACGCATTCAATCGTACTCTTATAATGACTGTGTTGCAGTCTCTGCCCCTTAGTTAAAGTGCAAACCAAATGATGACCTTAGAGCAGGGGTGGGGAACCTGCGGCCCCCGGGCCCCTATACGGCCCGCGAGACAATTTGGTACGGCCCTCGAGGTAATTTATAAACACACGCAAAAAAGAAAAAAATTAAAGTAATCTAGACCGCAAAAAAACAAGCGAGTGCCTGTTTTTCCTGGCCAAGGTCAGGGTCCTTGAACACAACACGAGCCTAACGTGTCATTACGTGGTATATGTCTTGTCTGACGGGGGTGCAGTGCTGAAGGAGAGCACCAGAACGCGGCTCCGGCACTTCCAAAAATTGCAGTACCCATAAGGAGCCGTACACATGCCGCTGTTTTTGCGTGGCTGTGTCTTTAGTTGAAAGCCCAGTGGTGATCTGCTCATCTGTCATACTGATCATACAGTCAGGGCCGCCCTGGCCAACTTGGGGCCCCAAGCGACATTGTGAGATGAGGCCCCCCCAACCGAAAGGAGTGAAACATTTTTTTTTGGAAATACAAAACATGCTTATTACATGCTAAAAAACTGATATTTCTTAAATCTGTATTCAAATGTAGTTCCCTCTGTCAGCAATGTATCAAAAACAACACACACATTTCTATCAGTATTTCTCTGTGTTGTGGTTGACATGATGATGACTGTTAGGAGTTAAGGGGAGAGGCTGAGCATCACCATGAAATGTGCAAATTGACATAAAAATGAATAAAAGGGGGAAAAATGCTCCATGTTTTTTAGGCTGTAAACTTTAACTGTTATGTGAGCAGACTACAGACAGTTTATCACTCTTCCTGTACATTAGCAGATAAAAGGCATAACATACTTGAATGAATGTTAAATAAGGAATGCTGGAATTAACTGCATCTCCATTAGCCTATATGCTATGCAGAGACTGCCTTCTTCATGTCGTGAATTGCAGCTGATGTTTTAATATGGCAATTGGCAATTTGACTTATACAACATTCGCAAGTTGTACATTTGACTCATACAATAACCCACCTTCGAGTGATGCTCTAGTTTCTTCATGTTTTGTTTTTTTCCCCTCTTGCTTGCGCCGGACTGAAAATGTCTTTTCGCCGACATCTCTTCACCTGGACTAGTGGCCGTATCAAAGCTGTGATTGGTCAGATGTCGATTAATTGCAATGGTGTCGGGTTACAGACGTGCTCCCCTTGTCACCTCTCTCTCACTCTCGCGGGGGTGCGCGGAGAACTGAGCGGAGAACTGCGCACAGCAGCTGAGGCCCTCTGGGCGGGGCCGCCTGCGCTAGGCGGGGCCCCATTCAGCCTGCGTGATTGGCCTGTAGGGAGGGGCGGCCCTGAGTGTATCTACTTTAAAGAGTCCTCTCCTGCTGATGTTCAGGTGTATATCATTATGTAGTGTCTCTACTTTAAAGAGTCCTCTCCTGCTGATCCTGAACATCAGCAGGAGAGGACTCTTTAAAGTAGATACACTCAGGGCCGNAAATCACTCCCCTTTTAAACTGTATTCTTGTTTATTAATAACAACTTTTTTTTACTGTCATATAGTATGTTATACCTGTTTACTTTATTCTCTTATTTTTTTATAATTATAATGATCATTTAAAGATGTGCCTTTACTGGTTGGAGAAAAAGCTTCTTATATTCGTTAGCATAGCTAACTAACCAGATGCTTATAACAACAAAGGTATTGACTGTATGCAGGGCCGCCC